AAAAAAAAAAAAAGAAGGAGGAATTTAACAAAGAATCCTGAGCTTTCTTTTTTTTGTTTTCAGTCAGATGTAATTGTTAATTCAATAAGTGGACGTAGCCTTAAAGTCAGCTTGGTATCAAAAGCGATTCTACAACAAGCAGGAGAGCAAATGGAAAGGCATCTTAGGGAGAAGATACCTACACTGTCTTCAGATTCCCTGTTAGTACTGGTCACAGAAGGATTTAAGTTGTCCTGCCAGTATGTGTTCCACATAATATGGCATTCAAGTAATCTCAGTCCTCAGGTAAGTGCAAAATAAATTTACCTTTATTTCCATGCCTAACAAGTCTGTTACATTTTTGCCATTTCATTACATTGATGAAATATTGTCAAGTGGTAGAACCCCCATTTTGAAGGCTGCTTGCAATTCTAAAATGCTGAACTACTTCAATTGGGACAATAGAGAGGATTATTCTGAACAAAATATAATTGAGGCACATCTGAAATACCATGGTGAACTTCCTTGGTACAGTCAGTATGTGCTAAAAATAATGAACGACAGGAATCAGGCTCTGATGGGGGATGGGTGTCAGAAGTAGGGTGAAGGGCTAATTCAGAGGGGTGAATGAGGATGAATATGGTTGATATACTTCAGTCAGGAAACCTGTTGAAATTGTTTTAAGATTTGTTTTTATTGACTTGGAAATGACTGATGAGCAGCAGCAAACTGATGCTGGGCTTTCTGCCCTGGGGCAGAAACGGGGAAAAATCATAGTGCCCAAATGTCCTGAAGAAACATTGAATTGCTCAAGTGCTTCTGTTTCTCAGGCTTTACATTTCTCATCCTCTAGCCTTTGAGCTATGGAGCATGGCTTCTGCTGCCTACCAAAGAGCCATGGATATGACCTTTAATGGAGTCTGGCATTGTAAACTATGGACAGAATCTAGGGCGAAGTGAAATCTTACTTCAAAGGCTGATCCTAAACGTGTGTTTCTTTTATAGACATTAAGAGAAGCAATGAAGAAGTGTTTGAAAAATTGTCTTGATCCACCTATAACTTCTATTTCCTTTCCTGCCTTTGGGATTGGAAACATGGGTATGATGAAAGATGAAGCAGCCGAGATTATGTTTGATGAAGTTTTAGCATTTGCCAAAAATCACCCTACAAAACAACTAACTGTAAAATTTGTGATCTTTCCAGAAGACAGGGATACATATGTGGTGAGTTACTATCTTAGAAATGTCTTGCAGGTCATTTATTCATCTATTCATTAAACATGTATTTAGTATCTCTAGTCTAAGACACAGGGCTAGGTGCTCTACAGTGTAGTGGTATTGTAACTTAGTGAAATTTAATTTCTGTAAATTACCCACCTTAACAATAAATGTCAATGTAGAAGCCATGGTTTTTTGCTTTTTTTTAACTCACTACTTAGGTTTTCCTTTCCCCCTTTTTTTTGCGTTCATTCTTCCTTCTCTGCTCCTTGAAGATATAAGCAACCTCCTTGTCACTTAGCAAGGCTGGTACTCTATCACTTGAGCCACAGCTCCACTTTTACTTTTTTGGTAGTTAATTGGATAAGAGTCTCTTTCCTGCTTGGGTTACCTTGAATCTCTAGCCTGAGAGCTCAGCTTCCTGAGTATCTAGGATCACAGGTGTTAGGTACCAGTCCCTTATCCACTGTTGGCCTTCTTATAAACATTTCTTTTCATCCTAAATAAAGTCATACAATGAGAAATGTGTTTACGGAAAGAACAGAAGACCACATATCCGGGTCCTCATTATCTCAGGGTGTGTTAACTTGACAGAGTCACCACATCCCAGAAAATGGATTTATCAGATATCCAATTGATATGGCTCAACCAGACCAACTTAAGATGAAGTAGAATTTATATTCACATACTCATTATTCAACTTAAGATGAAGTAGAATTTATATTCACATACTCATTATTCAACTTAAGATGAAGTAGAATTTATATTCACATACTCATTATTTTCCAGTTCCAAATTGAAGTGAATAAATGAGTCCTCAGAAGATTGAAATCCTTGTGTTTACTAGTATTTCATGATGTTAAGGGTGCTAGGCAGAACTGGGTATCTATAAACGAAAATGGACAGCTATTTGACAAATATTTCTTGCATATCTATCTTTCACCAGACATTGTATCTCAGAATAAGGAACAACTTATTCTGAAATATCTCTTATTATCTCATGGTTGCTATCTCTCAGACCAGGTGTTGTTCACTAGCAGACAGAGCTGGTGGAACACCACTGCCAAATTCATATCATTTGACTCTACTTTTCTGCGCTCCTTGCAGATTATCATCTACTTGCTATGAACATAGTCTTTCTTCAAAGTCATTGCTAGTGATTTATAGTTTTCCTTTACATCAGTTCAAAAGTCTTGTCTAATTCTTTCTAATCCCACAACCCATTCTGTTTTTAAATTACCTTCTAGAGAAATTTTTAATCCAAGTGTATGGCAGCTCTTTATCAGCAGATGTTATTACCCTATTTGTTTTATTTTCAAGTTTTTGAATGGAGAGGACAAGGAAATGCCATGTAACTAAACATGGTAAGAACAAAGGCTTTTTGCTCTGGAAACAGTAGCTACAAATACAAGTTATGAAGAAAATTCCCCATAGATTAAGAAACTTCATTGTTAAAGTTCAGATGGGAAGCAAATTTAGTACCTCATTAATAATCATATGTCCACTAAATTAAATAATGCCAACTCTGTTAGTCTTGAACAAGGAATAGACAGGAGAAAGTAGTTCTAAACTATAGGAAATATGATTGCAAATAGTCACTATGAGTATTTACTGAGTGCTTACTGTGTGTCAGGTATAATTTTAAATACTTTGCAGGAACTAATCATATAAAACAAACCATTCATTCTATCTTTATAGTTTGATGAATTTATAACATTTAAAGATGAATTTGTATTTGAAGTTCATCTCTAATTCAGGCCTAACATAATAGTGCCTATAGTAAACAGGACATTAATATCTGTGACTATATTTTTACCTAGTTATATAAATTCTTTTTCATATTAGATTTTGTTTTTTCCTCATCTCTCCTGTACTTGTTTCCCTTAGATATTGAGATTGTGCAATTGCTGTTCACTGGAACTTTTCTACCACCTGTTTTAGTTGCAGAGAGAGGGAGGCTGTCAACATCAGCAAAGTCAAGTGTGGTGTGTACAGGTAGAAGTAGGTAGATTTTGGTGGCAATGGTGATAAGCCCTACTTATGACTCTTTTTGTGTTTTTCTTACTGTAGGCTTTCAAAGCTGAAATGACAAAATTCAACTCACACAATCCCAACGATAACAATGGTAAGAAATCCACAGGTCTAAAAGTACAGTTTCCTACAATAGGCACATTTTGCTCTTGATCTTCTCAACTAATAGAAGAGAAATGAATAAGTAAAGCCAAAAGAAATTCATTGTGTTCCTGCTAGGATATTACCAACATGCTTTCTTCCTTAACTATGATTCTACTCTTGCTCAGTCTAATTCCATGATACCAACAGGGAATGCTAGATTGTAGTAGATAATCTACAGCATGAGTAGTTCATTCACAAATGGCTGTCAATAGTTTTTTCCCCATTTGGTAATTCTGCACCAGGCATGATTTTCACACCTCTAATCCTAGCACATAGATAGAAGGATTGTGAGTTTGAGGCTAGTATGGATATATACTGTGACCTGAGAGAGAGAAAGAGAGAGAGAGAGAGAGAGAGAGAGAGAGACCCAGAAAGTTTGCCCTCCAAAAGCTGTCTAAGCTAGTCCATATTTTCTGCTCCCAACACTTATTGATAATTATACAAAATACATTTTGGTAATGCCAGATAAACAGGTTAACCCATTGCTACTCAAATTGGAGTAATCACTGGGATCACCTTAACAAACAGAGAAAGATGGACAGAAAGAAAGGAGAAATCATATAGGCCCCAGATCTAAAGATTTTGATTTAAAAACTCTGGCTCTAGGCCAAGCAGACCTTGTTATGAAAGCTCTCTAGTCAGTTTTGCAGGTGGGCTATGTTTGGGATCATTGAATAAACTTGTCCTGGTAGGTGTGGTGGTGAAGGATTAGCTCTAACTTGTAATTACATTCTTTTGATGGAAATTGAATGGACAGAGATGGAATATTCAATGGCTCAGTGATAGTGGAAATGAAGAAAAGGGAACTCTAGGAAATCTGGTTTGATACTGAGCCTCTTAAGAGTCTATCTCTTTGTCTACAAAATAATGATTATAGGTGCTGCTAACTTACACCTATAATCCTAGCTACTGATGAGGCTAAGATCTGAGGATAATAGATCCAAGCCAACCTGGGCAGAAAAATCTGTGGGGCTGGTATCTCTACTTAACGAGCAAAAAAGCCAGAAGTGGAGGTGTGGCTCAAGAGGTAGAGCACCAGCCTTGTGCAAAAAGTTAAGTTCAAATCCCAGTACCAGTACAAAAAAAAGGAAAGAAAATAATGACTATAACAGATTATTACGAGGATAATTGGAGATAGATGTGAAGATTCTGTAAATTACAGAGCATTAAACAAATGTAAGGGGACAAATAATGAATGAGAAGATGAACAAGCCTTCCTCCAGATAGCCCAGGAAGAGATAGCTCCTCTGAAAGAGGGCTCAAGAATGGCTTTATGAACTAGGAGTGGAGCTGTGGCTCAAGCAGAGGAGCACTAGCCTTGCACAAAAAAGTTCAGGGTCAGCACCCAGCCCCTACTTCAAGCTTGAAGACTAGCATGTATTTGTTTCTAAGTATGTGCGTATGTGTGCGTGCACATGGGCTCACACACACACACACACACACACACACACACACACTCACACACACAAAATGACTTTAGCTGGGTGCTGGTGGACTCACACCTGTAATCCTAGCTACTCTGGAGGCTGAGATCTGAGGAGCAAGGTTCAAAGCCAGCCCAGGCAGGAAAGTCTGTGAGACTCTTATCATCAATTAATCACAGAAAAAGCCACAAGTAATGCTATGGATCAAGTGGTAGAGTGCTAGCCTTGAGCAAAAAAATGAGCTCAGGGATAGTGTCCAGGTCCAGAGTTCAAGCCCCAGGACAGGCAAAAAAAAGAATGGCTTTATGAGCAGGGTGCCAGAGGCTCATGTTTGTAATTCTAGCTATTCAAGAGACTGAGATCTAAGGATCACAGTTTGGAGTCAGCCAGGGCAGTAAAGTTCTTGAGACTCATCCAATTAACTTGCAAAAAGCAGGAAGTGGAGCTGTGGCTCAAGTGGTAGAGTGCTGCCACTGAGCAAAAAAGCTAAAGGACAGTGCCCAACCCCAGTAACAGCACAAGAAAGAGAAGAAAGAGAAAGGAAAAGAAGAGAAAAGCTTTATGGATTAGAATGGTTCTAAATTAGGCGTTAGGATAATAAAGGTTTTCAATGGTCAGTGGCAGAGGGGAGGCACCCAAAGTGAAGAAAACCCACAGGAGCAAACAAATGCAGTATATATTTGGGGAACCACAATACAGGCTATCAAGACTAGAGGAGCAGTTTCAGGTGGGCCTAATATAGAAAAGGAACGTAGGAAACTTCACTTATAATTAATCTAAAGTGTGGATGCAAGTCACTATTTCAACAATTCTTGAATACATCTGTTAGTTCACATAGGGCAATAATCAACATCCATAACAACTGATGATGATTTTCTCATCAAGAAAAAGTTAACTAGTTAGGAAGGCAGACATATGTTTTCATTAGAAAGATTTAATATATAATTAAAGGTAAATTTAATTGTGGTGCTTAGAAGATTATCGTTTTGTGATCTGAACAATATAGCTGTCTAGAAGAATAAGTCTTCTTAATAATGACAGATTAATACATTGTTTTTGTTTTCTTGTTTAAAAAAATAATGCTGGGTGCCAGTGGCTCATGCCTGTAACACTAGCTACTCAGGAGGCTGAGATCTGAAGATTGTGGTTCAAAGCCAGCCCAGGCAGGAAAGTTTGTGAGACTCTTATCACCAAAAGGCCAGAAATGGTACTGTGACTCAAAGTGGTAAAGCACTCTCCTCAAGCATAATATAGCTCTGGGACAGCACCTAGGCCCTGAGTTCAAGCCCCAGGGTAGGTGCATGCAGGCGCGCGCGCGCACACACACACACACACACACACACACACACACACTCTCTCTCTCTCTCTTTCTCTTTCTCTCTCTCTCTCTCTCTCTCTCCATAAACTCCTAGGGAAGGGAATATAGTTTTTTATTTTCTCCTAAAAAGTAATGTAAAACACAATTAAAATATCTTTGTCATTTCTGTTGTTGAGAACATCCACTTTTCTTTTACTTTGAGTGAGGCTTTTGTCTCCCACTTCTAGTTCTGTCCTAATGATTTTTCCTAGTTCCTAACACTACTCAGCTACAACATTGGGAGAAAGATGCTAGCTACCCAATTGTCCCACACCGCATCTGCTAATTTTATAACTAACACTAACAAGTTTTATAACAGTGGTTACTTAAGGATTTTTTGAGTTTTCACTGACTTTCTTCATTTAAATAATAGACTTGTGAGGATTGAATAAAATAATGCACATATTATTGAACCAATGCCTAGAGCTTTAGCGATCAACTTACTTTTTTTCCTCCTCAAAATATATTTCCTAGATTCCTCCATGCAAAGCTCATTTCTTTTTATTTATTACTATAACAATATTCCATTGTTGAGGGATATTTGATTCTTTTCAGGGAATTTCTTGTATACTTTTCTTATTAAACTAGTGGTTAGTGGAATTATAGATATTTTTCCTTTTGCTATACTTTGATAATTTTCTAGTTTTCCAATAATAAGCATTTTAGGTTTGGGGCTTTTTTTTGTCTGAGACCAGGATTTAAACTCTTGATCCAACACTTCTGTTCATTGGCTGATGCTCTACCACCCAAGCCAGGCCTGCAACCCCTAAACATGTTAGTTTTATAATCAGAAATTCTTGGTGGTTGCTTTTATTTTTTAAAAAGTCTTTCCAAGATATTTGATTTTCAAACCTATTAGAAGATGTTAAAGACACTTAGCAGGAAAAAATACAATATCCTAGTTGAGATCAGAAGATGAACTCACCTGTGAGTTGACAGATGCTAGCAGGAGCCAGATATGATGAGGCCAGCCCCTTCTAAGCTGAATTTTGTATTCCTAAGATAAAATGTCCCTATGTGTTTGCTGTATATCTAGTGCACCTTCTAGAGATATGTATTTAAAAGCAGGGTTGTTACTGTTGGCAATGATGACAATATTCTTGGACAAATAGTGGCCAGAGTGTTTTGTTCTGCGTTATTTAAAAACTCACTACCTTTCCATGTTACTTATAATGGTCCTATCAGTCTTCCAGTGGACCACAGAGGAGCAAAGAATAAATGGCCTTGAAGCTGGATCGCCTACTGTCAATCTGATGGGAGCCACCAAAGAAAAGATGCAAGAGGCTGAAGTGTGGATCAAAAGGTTACTGACTTTCCAGGACCACCACGTCATTGAGAATAATCATATTCTCTACCTTGGGAAAAAAGAACATGAAAAACTGGCTCTGCTCCAGAAAACCGCAAGTGTCTCCATCACAGAGGCTGTCTGTATAGGAAAGACATATTTGGAGATTAAAGGAGACCGATCTAACCTCATGAAGGTGGTTATGAAAGTTGAATGTATGTTGTGTGATGTTCAGGAGGAAGTGATAAGAAAAAATGAGAAAGCCCTTTATAGCTTTTTAGGTGAGTAACTTCTTACTAAGTTAAAAAGTTAACTCTCCCAATTGTTCCTTCTTTGTGATGTGTGGAGAAGAGGTAAAATTGGAAAGAAGAAAGCAAACCATTCTAACTGTGTTAAGTCACTAAGGTTTTTTGTCCCCTTGTGTGTGGCTTGAACTGAGGGCCTGGGGCCTGTCTTTGAACTTTTTTCCCCTCAATGTTAGCACTCTACTACTGACCCACAGCTCCATTTCCAGCTTCTTGGTGTTTAATTGGAGATAAGAGTCTCATGAACTTTCCAACCCAAGCTGGCTTTAGACCACAATCCTTAGTCCTCAGCCTGTTGGGGGCTACAGACATAAGCCACTGGTATTCAGTTTAGGTCATTGAGTGGTAGAGTGCTAGCCCTGAGTAAAAGAAGCTTTGGGACAGTGCCAGGCCCTGAGTTCAAGCGCCAGGACTGGCATACAGAACTCAGGGCCTGGCATACACACAGAAAAAAGTTTATCCCTAATTCTGTAAATTAAGCATTCAAATGTAGATAATTCTACTTGATTATTTCTTGTATTGAATTTTATTATACCTTTTTATTGCTGGCAGCATTAGGATCCATAAAACAAACTTTGTTCTTTCTTTTCTTCTTGCCTCCTTCCCTTCTTCCCTCCTTCCTTCTTTCCCTCACTCCTGTCCTCTTTTCCTTCCTTCCACAGACTTGCGAGGTAGCTCTTCAGGTTGGCTTTGAACTTTCAGTCCTGCCTCAGCCTCCCTAGTGCTGGGATTATAAGTGTGTACCACCATGCCTAGCCAGCATCCCCAACAATTAACGTATTTGTCACCAATTAATGTATTTGTTAGTTCTGTAACATAGCTCCTTTCAAAGGATAATAAGGGGATTAGGACCCAGAGAAATCATTTTAATAGATCCCTAGTGCTAACTGGGAAACTGTGTCATCTAAACCCCATCCTAGGGAAACAGCTCAAATGGTAGAGTGCCTTCCTACAAGGGGGTGGTTCTGAGTTCAAATGTTAGTAATGCTGAGACACAAAAATAACTATATCATGAGTGGTAGTGCACCCTAAAATCCTATGACTCAGGAGGCTGAGGCAGGATTTTTTTGTGAGTTTGAGGCCAGCTTGGGTTACATAGTAAGTTCCAGACCAGTCTGAGCTAATTGTCTTAAAACAAATCAGCCAGGTGCTAGTGGCTCATAAGTATAATCCTAGCTACTCAGGAGCCTTGAGATCTGAGCATCATTATTCAAAACTAGCCGGGGGCAGAAAAGTCTGTGAGACTCTTATCTCTAACTAAATATTTTTAATAAGCTGGAAGTTGAGCTGTGGTTCAAGTAGAGTACAAGCCTGAATGGATAAAGCTCAAAGACAGCACCTAGGCCCTGAGTTCAATCCCTAAGACCAGCACAAAAACAAACAAACAAACAAGCCAAACACACACACACAAAAGTGACACTTGGAAGAGAAGATTATTTCATGTATTCATATATGTGTCAAACTGTGTAAATGGTGTAAACAGATGGACATTGTCCTTGCTTAGAGTCTAATTGGGGATATTGACAAATGATCTAGTGAGCCATGCACACAGCGGGTAAAAGTACAATGGACACAAAGGTGAGGCACTTCTCATGGATTTGGGAAGTCTGGAGAAAGGTCATTTACAACATAAGAGATGTTACAAATGAAGAATTTAATTGTCTGTGGTAAATAACCAGGCAATGAAATAAAATCTTAAGAAATAACACTAGAACTCAGATCCAGTGGCTCACACTTGTAACCAATCCCAGATACTTGGGGAGCAGAGAATGGGAGGATTGTGGGTCCAGGCTAGACTGTACAGAAAAGTCCCTAAGAATGTGCTCCATGGAGGGAAGCTGACAGCACATGTCTGTGATCCAGAGAAAATGGAAAGCCTAAAAGTAGGCAGATCAAGAATGGTGCTTGCATCTAGGTGGAAAGCAAGACTACCTCAAAAAGTAACCAGTAAGAACAGAGCTGGAGACACAGCTCTTTTGATCCTTGCTAGTGAGTGCTTCTGACTGAAGTTTATGGGACTTTGGGTCCCCCGTGTCCAGTACAATGGCTGGCATGTACGAGAAGCTTGAAATCAAAGAATTGGATTCTAATCTTATACTTTGTAAATGTGAGGTCTTAGTCTCCAAACTTAATTTACAGTCTCTTCCTTGAAGTTTTGAGATTTTGCAGCTCCTCTATCATGGAGCTCCTTTTCTTCCTCTTCCTCTTCCTCTTCCTCTTCCTCTTCCTCTTCCTCTTCCTCTTCCTCTTCCTCCTCCTCCTCCTCCTCCTCCTCCTCCTTTTCCTCCTCCATCTGCTTCCTTTTCCTCTTCCTCTTCTTCCTCTCTTTCCTCTCCTTCTTTCTCTTCATCTTCTCCTCCTCCACATCCTCCTCCTCCTCCTCCACATTCTCCTCCTCCTCCTCCTCCCCCTCCCCCTCCTTCTTCTTTTTGTGCTAGTCCTAGGACTTGAACTCAGAGCCTGGGCCCTGTCTCAGAGCTTTTAGGCTTGAGAGTAGTGCTCTATCACTTTGGATCACAGTACCATTTCTGGCTTTTTAGTAGTTAATTGGAGATAAGAGTCTCACAAACTTTCCTGCCTGGGCTGGTTTTGAACTGTAATCCTAAAATCTCAGCCTAGTGAGTAGCTAGGATTACAAGCATGAGCCATAGGGACCTGGCTAAGTGATCCTTTCCTTGCATGCACAACTTGGCTTTTTAGTGAATTACTCTGGTCACCTGATTGTCATGGTAAACTTATTCAATGGCCCAGGGATTGGGCCATTTCAATATATTTAGTCTTAAGCCAAACTGAAAATAAACTGAGATAAATCAAGCTTTTAAAAATTTATTTATCTATCTATTTATTTGTTGTTTCCATTTGTTTACCTGTATAAGGAGCTCACGTGCATCAAAACAAATTGTCTATTCTGTTTTTAAAAGGAATGGGAGGGGCTGGAAGGTGACTCAGTAGTAGAGTGCCTGCCTTGCATGCATGAGGCCCTGGGTTTGATTCCTCAGCACCACATAAGCAGAAAAAGCCAGAAGTGGCACTGTGGCTCAAGTGGCAGAGCTCTAGCCTGAGCTGAAGAGCTGAGGAACAGTGCCCAGGCCCCACAACTGGCAAAAAAAAAAAAAAGGAAAGGAAGAAGAAGAAAGGAAGGAGAAAGAGAGGAGGAAATAGAAAGAAGGCACAAAAGGGAGGAAGATTTAATCTTCAAATTTTACCTTTCCTGCTTGGGTGGTGAATGAGTAATACTTGTTCCCAGTCTTTTGCCTTGTCTTTTCAGAGAGCAATGGTGAAAGCCAGATTTCTAATCTTATCTTTGCTTACTAGCTTTTTGAATTATTGGACAAGTGACTTAATTTGTCAGAACTTTAATTTCCTTATTTATAAAGTTGAGTTAATTATTTCAATAATGGTGTTGTGATGATCAAATGAAGTAGAGAAATGAAATCTCCTTGAAAACTTTGAAGTGTTACATTAATGTCCTACTGTTTTCTATCATTCAGGTTTTCTTAATAATCTTTTTGCTGGGCTGGGAAGGTGGCTCAGTGGTAGAGCGCTGCTTGCCTTGCACCATGAGGCCCTGGGTTCGATTCCTCAGCACCACATAAGCAAAAAGAAAAAAGCTGGAAGTGGCACTGTGGCTCAAGTGGTAGAGTGCTAGCCTTGAGCTGAAGAGCTGAGGGACAGTGCCCAGGCCCAGAGTTCAGGCCCCACGACCAGACCCCCCAAAAAAACAACAAACAAACAAACAAACGAAAAAAAAAAACAATCTTTTTGCTGATAGCTATCCTGACCAGAAATACAAATAATTCTAATCAGTATCACAATCTTGTATCCTTCACAGTACTGATCCTGCAAGGAGGAATGTAATTAATGCTTGTTTTCTCTCGCATCCCTTTGGCTTCTTAATCCAAACTATGGAATGACAAGTTTTTTAACCCCTTCATTTTATTCTATGACTTATTTTTGTTGTAGTTCTTGTATATCCTAAACAATCTGAGGCATCTGCTTTAAATGGGCTAGTCCTCTAAGTTTCTAGAATTCATTTTATTAATTTTGTTTTTTAATTTTTATTAGCATAAATTAATTGTACAAATGGCTTCATTATGATATGCAGAACACGTATCTAATTTACTTTCATTAAGTTGACCTCATCTAGATTACTCTTCCTTAATCCCTTCCATTTCCCCTCCTTTTATGCAGTTTTTTGGTGGGTTTTATTATGCTATTTTCATACATATATGTAATGTTTCTGTAATATTCACTCTGTCACCTTTTCTTTTCTCCCTCCCCCTATTGTTTTACAGCCTAGTCGTATTGCTTTAAGTCTAGTTTCCACAGATGAGCAACAGGATGTGATATATGTCTATCTGAACTTGGCTTATCTCACTTAACATGATGATCCCTAGATACATCCACTTTACTGGAAAGACAATTTCATTTCACTTTTCTTTATGGCTGAATAAATGGAATAAATGTAGAACATTTTCTTATCCTAGCATTGGCTGTTAGGCACGTAAGCAGGTTCCATGCCTTGGCTATTGTTAATAATGATGCTATAAACGTGGGTGTGCAGTTATTTCTATTGTATATTGACTTACACTTATTGCATGTTGACTGTATTGTATGTTGAGTTATATTCATTTAGATACATGCCCAAGAATTAAATTTCCTTAAATTTCTTTACAAGCTTTTTTTTTTGATACAGTGCATTGAGACACAGTTTTATCTTACTCATTTTTAGCACAATGGACTGGTCAGCATCCCAAACTACAAAATGAAAAGATCTTATATCTTCGATATCTAGTGCCTTCATGTCCAGAACTTCAACGTGAAAAGAAGATATTTGAAAAATGGGGTTTGCAAGTTATAAAGGTAAACCCTAATTAAGAAGAGAATTTGGCTCATGTTGCTATTAATTAACTTGGTATGTAGACAATAGAAAAGCTCACCTGTCAGTGACTCAGCTAACTGCTCTGTGCCCTGGAATCCCAGGAGTAAGACTGGCAGGAAGGCAAGCATGAGGGTATAGTTGGAATTAGGAGGTAGAAATGAAATCAGAACATACAAAATGTAGATTAAAGATCCATTTAAGGTGAGTGATCTGCCCATCTTTGAGAAAAATAAAAGAAAGTAGAAAACATATTAGTATAGCATGTCTTATGCTGTATTATAACTGCACTTGGGTTTGAACTCAAGGCCTTGAATTTACCAGGCAGGTGATCTACCCAAGCCATTTCCCTAGACTTTGTTTACCTATTTTTATGTCTCAATAAACCCTGAGCTTTAACAAGGCAGATACTATATCTGTATTATTGACAATTACATTACCAGTGCCTCTGACATAGAGATCGTCAGTGAATATTTATGAAATAAATATATTAAAGCAGCAGCAGAGGGTTTTAAGAAGACAAAAAATAGTCCGATTAGAAGATTATGAGTATGAGAGTATGCCGTGTAGTTTTATATGAAAAGCAAATTGCATGCAAAATAGGATGCACAAAAGTGACTCTTTTTGAGGTAGAACAGAGGTGATTTAAATTGCTTTTTTAAAAGTTTTTATTATCTTTAAGTAGTTGTACAAGTAGGTGCCATTAACATTAGCTAGGTGCTATTAAGTAGTTTATAAACACAGAGTATCTTGATCACTGTCATCCCTTCAACGTTCTCACCCTTCTTTGACTTACTCCTTCCCTTACTTTCCTTTTTTCTTTTCTTTTTCTTTTTTTTGTGGTCATAGGGCTTGAACTCTGGGCCTGGGTGTTGTCCCTGGGCTCTTTAGTTCAAGGCGAGTGCTCTACCACTTGAGCCACAGCACCACTTTCAGTTTTCTAGTGGTTTATTGGAGATAAAAGTCCCACGGACTTTCCTGCCTGGCCTGGCTTTGAACTTTGATCCTCAGATCTCAGCCTCCTGAGTAGCTAGGATTACAGGTGTGAGCCACCGGTGCCTGGCCTTCCCTTACTTTTCTAATTTTTGTGGTAAATACAATGAATTCTTGATTGTGTTCTCCCTCTTCCCAGCCCCCTTCATTCACTTATCCCTTTCCGTTTAGCTCCATCCCCTCCCCTTCTTGCATATACCCATTTCTTTGTGTTGACCTAATCTATCTATCTTTCCTTCCTTCCTCCCTCCTTTCCTCCCTCTCTTCCTCTTCCTTCCTTCCTTCCTCCCTCCCTTCCTTCCTTCCTCCTGTCAGTCATGGAGCTTGAACTATGGACCTGGGCACTGTCCTTGAGCTCTTCAGCTCAAGGCTAACATTCTACCACTTGAGCCACTGCGCTACTTCCAGTGTTCTGATGGTTTGTTGGAGATAAGAGTCGCATGGACTTTCCTGCCCAGGCTGGCTTTGAACCATGATCCTCAGATCTTAGCCTCCTGAGTAGCTAGGATTACAGGCATGAGCCACCAGCACCTGGCTTTGACCTAATCTTTCTCAAAAAAAAAGTATACTATTTAAGTTCTCTCTAGAGTCTATTATACTTCAGTTAATCCATCCAGTTTCTTGTCCCCCCCCACACCTTGGTCATAGGTGGAGGAGTTACAAAATCCATTACTCATGGCTGCCTACCAAGAGAAGAAGAAAATTATGGAAGTGAGAACCCAGCAATCACCTGTGTGCCTCAGGGCATTCCAGCAAGTTCCATACCAGTTCCTTGATGCTGTGTGCAGAGTCGGCTTTCACAGATTCTATACTGCATCCTATAGTAGGTGTCAGTCCATCATCCTCAGGGCTTCCCAATGTGGGTCTTGGCAAGCACTCATTCAGGTAGCAGGTGGCTTGCCATTAAAAACATCTCTTGCTGTAGAGAGGGAATCATTGTAATTGGACTCTAGAAATGAAGTGTTTTGGAAAGGGTTGCTTTGATCCTTTATATCTCTTTGTTGCTGGGTTTTACATTGATGAATGCATAAGCAGTGGGATCCATGGTTCACTGTTTTTTCTCATCTCTGTTTCTGTGTCCTATATGCAGCTTTTATTATTGCTGTCATTGTTGTTGTTATTGCTATTATTGGCTTACTTATCTCAACACCACTGAGCCATCCTCATCCCTTAATTAAAATATATTTTCCTGAAGTTTAGACAGTCCACATTTTCTCCTTCATCCTCTTTCTCTCATGTAATCTACTAGTGAATGAATTGGATATCATGTGGCAGGTGAAGTAAATAGTGTCTCAAGATCCTTCCCAGCCATGGGAGTTCTATATGAGGCTTCCTCAACTCAGTGGTATAAAAATGTTAGATACATAATTGCTATGTTGTGCCTTTTCCTCTCTCCATGGGAGACTAACAACTTGAGTAATACTCATGGAGAGATGCCTACCTATGCTTTTGCTTGGCTCATTAAATATGCAGCTCTTGATCTTTACCTTTCAAACATATAGCATGATCCTTGCTGTAGAGCCAGTCCCAAGAATCTTAATTTCTACAAAGCAAAGGTTCTGGAAATCATCTTTATACCAGAGAGAACATAGGTAGTATCAGGTAAAAATTGAGCACAGATAATGTCTGGGTATGTGATAGATAGATGACTCCTCATAAGAAAGTCTTTTGAGTGAAACCAAAAGACTGTCTTTTTCTCTCATGTCTATAATTTAGGGTTTCTCTCTCTCTCTCTCTCTTTCTCACTCTGTGTGTGTGTGTGTGTGTGTGTGTGTGTGTGTTAGTACTGGAGTTTGATCTCAAGGCCTGGATGCTGTCCCTTAATTTTATATCTCAAGGCTGGCACTCTACTTCTTGAACCACATCTCTTCTTTCAGCTTTTGGATAGTTAATTGGAAATAAGAGTCTCTCCGAGTTTTCCTGCCTGGCTGGCCTTGAACCTTAATCCTCAGATCTCAGCCTCCTCAGTACCTAGGGTTACAGGAGTGAGCCACAGGCACCTGGCTTATTGTCAGTTCCTTAACTGGCTTCTCTGCATCCCTGCTTTTACTTAAAATATTCTCTCCGAGATTGTCACTATTTTCCTAATCTGGTAAATGCCCTCTTTCATTCCCAAGCCCAGAATTTTCTGCCCACTATCTATACACATTCTTCTTCTCCAGACATCCAAAGCATTTATTATCCTCTCAAGAAAACAGTCCCACACACTTATTCAGTCTCTTTATCAGCCTTAAGTTCAGGCATTCTCTGTTAAAGCATAAAAGCAAAGGATCACCCTTATATACTCATTACATAATGACACTTAAAGGGCAGAAACACTGCCAAGAGAACTCCTACATTGAAGGATTATTAAGGGATGAGCATGGCTCAGATAGGATACAGAAGCAGAAATGCAGCAGTCCTTGCCATGTGCTGCTGGATGCGAGGAGCAGGGAGGACTCTGCTCTGGGAGTGGATTGAGTGGATACTTATTTGCACTCCAGAAAGAAAATGTTCTTTATGTATTGTGATTTTTGACCATTTCAAGGCTGACTGCCTACTAGTGGGCTCAGAACTGCCTTAACTGCAGAGATGAGAGAATGTAGATTGCAGAGCCAGGTAGTGATTCCTTTTTCCCTGGGAATTCTTCTAGTTTTTCTGAGATTTTTATTTTTCTGTTTGTCTTGACTCTTGAGGGCACTCGAATAAAGTGAATTCCTTCTCAAAAATTTTAAGAGCTCTAGTCACATTTCCTCAGATTCTTTTCTAATAGAAGAACTTTTGTGTTGAAGCGAGAAAATTGCTCTTGGTTTAGTTTTGCTTTATTCCCTCGTCTCTCATTTATGGTAAGACCTTTTATTGTGTGCCAGTCCTAGGGTTTGAACTCAGGGCTGCTTGAGCCACAGCTCCACTTCTGGATTTTTGATAGTTAAAGATGTGAATCTCCTGGACTTTCTGCCTAGGCTGGGTTTGAACCTTGATGCTCAGATCTAAGCCTCCTAAGCAGTTAGGATTACAGGTGTGAGCCACCAGTGTCTGGCTCAAGAACTCCATTTTCATGTGAAAAAAATCCTTCCAGTTTTACCTCAAAAGGCCCTTTCCTTCACAGGAACTCTGAAAGCTATAATTTCAAGATTATATTTTCTCTGTGAATATATATATATATATATATATATATGTAAACACACACACACACACACACATTCTAAACTTTTTTTGCCCTTGAGGTAATAGGTAGCAACAAAGCAATGGAGAAGGAAGATCAAGAAGAAACTCTTGAGAAGGAAAATTCTTTTATTTTTCTTTTTTTAAAAGCAGCCCTAGGGCTGGGAAGGTGGCTCAGTGGTAGAGCGCTTGCCTTGCATGCTTGAGGCCCTGGGTTCAATTCCTCAGCACCACATAACCAGAAAAGGCCAGAAGCGGTGCTGTGGCTCAAGTGGTAGAGTGCTAGCCTTGAGCTGAAGAGCTGAGGGACAGCGCCCGGGCCCAGAGTTCAAGCCCCACAATCGGTCCCAACAAAACAAAACAAAACAAAAAAGCAGTCCTAACCTTGGATGCCTCCTGCTTGTTGAGCAAGCGCTCTACTACTTAGCCACATCCCCAGCTTTTTTTGTGCTCTTTAGTTTTGAGGTAGAGTCTCACTTCCTCCCAGATGTACATCTGGACTACAGTCTGCCTGTTTTAGGCTTTCTTTAGTAACTGGGATGACACGCATGTGTCACCACTCCTAGCTTCTTCTGTTGAGACATTTTCAAGAACTTTTCTGTCCAAACCTGGAGCTGTGATCCTCCTGATCTGGATCTCCCACATAGTTAGATGACAGGCACATGTTGCCATGCCCAGCTATGGATCAAGGAACTTGTCTTTTTTGCTTGTCTGGCCTCAAACCATGATTCTCTGGCGATCAGCCTCCCAAATAGGATTGTAAGGCAACAGTACCTGTGAAGAAGGAAAATCTTGGGCTGGGAATGTGACTTAGTGGTAGAGTGCTTGCCTAGCCTGCATGAAGCACTGTGTTCCAATTTCAGTACCACATAAACGGAAAAAGCTGGAAGTGGTTCTGTGGCTGAAGTGGTAAAGTGCTAGCATAGAGCAAAAGAAGGTTGAGGACAGTGCCCAGGCCCTGAGTTCAAGTCCCAGGACTGGCAAAAAAAAGGAAAATCTTTTTCCCTCAAAATATTACTTTGTAATGTATTATATTTTACTACTTTGTATTGTATTATATTTTATTTGTTTTGGGGAAGGGAGTTCCATTTGTGAAGTTTAAAGAACAAGGATGATATCATGGTGATTTTTGAATTTGTATAGCTGCACTATTCAATATTATAACTGCTAGCCACATGTCTACTGAACATGGGAAATGTGGCTAATATGAATTGAGATACACTGTACATAGGAAACGTGTACAGGATTTCAAAGACAGATTACAAAATATGGGTACTAGAAAATAGCTCGTGCTTGTAATTCTAGCTTCTCAGGAGGCTGACATCTGACAAATGTGGTTCTAATCCAGCATGAGCAGGTAAGCCTGGGAGACTTACCTCCAATTAACCATCAAAAAAGCCAGAAGTGGAGCTGTGGCTCAAATGGTAGAACACTAACCTTGAGCAAAAAAGGCTCAAGGACAGAGCCCAGGCTCTGAGTTCAAGCCCCAGGACTGGCATATATATGCATATAGATATGAATTACATTTGTAACTTATATTTTATTCAGTGCAGCTTTACAACCTAAACCAATATTTGGTTAAGTGACAAAAAGTTCCAGGAGAAGGAAGAAAGAGAAAGGAAGGATAAGGATATATGTTTAAAGAAGTTTAATTTTTACCCATCTGAGGTTTTATTTTTTGAGTGCTGGGGACTAAACCAGGGCTTTGTACATGAACTCTCTCCCCCAAGTGACTTTGAAATGGGCATTGAACATGATTGCCTTGAGGTCCAGAATTTGATTCTTAGTTAGCCTAGAATGTTGGGATTATAGGCATGCACTGCCATGTAGGCTCATTCTTGAGTATCTTAATACTCCAGAAAAGATAGTACAGATAACACACAGTATGCCAGAATGAAGAATATTCATTTCTTCTAGTTGGAATTGGACATCTCCTCCTTAGTATCATAGTCTCTCAAATGCCTGATGGGTGGAATGCCTGGTAAGCATGAACCTAGATGAGAAACGTGTGGAGAATTCTTGGTGCTATATTGGGCTATGCCAGAGTGAAAGCTGATGTCCATTACCTGACCCACAGTACAGAATACCATTGCATTCTCAAACATTTAGATAAGACTATTTATGGGTTATAGAACCTATAAATGTTCTGAGAAAAAGATATTTCCTTCTTCTATGCAACTGCTTGATTAATGTTCTTGCTCTTCTCTCTTTCTCTCTTCCACCTCCCTCTCTTGCATCTGATAACCAGGGCTTGAATTCAGGGCCTCTCATTTCTTGGGCTTGCTTGCTCAAGTTGGTACTCTACCATTCTTGCCCTGCTTGGTCTATGTTAAATTGAATCATAATTTACTTGAATTTCAGATTTTTCATCTTTTAAATGGAAGTACAGATTAATTGAATCTGATCAGTGTAAAAATGCTTTGAAAGTTAGACTTCCCCATAAACTTGAATGATGCATTCAAATGTAAACTGACTCATCCTAAGGGAACAGCTTGGGGGGATTGGCTATAGGATCAGCAGTCTTGAGACCAGGAGGATATGATTATTTGAAAGACTAGTGAGAGATACATAGGATACCCAGATTGGCAATATCTTTTGCCTGATCAGAGGAATCTTTTATGTTTCTTCTCTTTTCAGACCCACAATATGGAGCTGGCATATACTTCACCACAAATCTCAAAAACCTAGCTGATAAAGTCAAGACTTCTAACACCGACAAGTTCATCTATGTGTTTGAGGCTGAGGTCCTCAAAGGCTCCTCCTGCCCAGGTCATCGGTCAAATATTGTCCCCCCACCATTGTCTCGTGAAGCCGTAGATTGCTATGACAGTGTTGTTGACAATGAGTCCATGCCTGAAACCGTTGTTATTTTTAATGGTATGCAAGCTTTACCCCAATATTTGTGGATTTGCACTCAGGATCATGCAGGACCGCAAGGTTACTCAACAGGACCAGTATCCTCTTCAGGGCAGGATTGGAAAAAATTGTCAAATGGCAGCTCTGTTGATTAATGTCCATATCATTTTAACAACTGGTATGATCTTGCTTTGGGGCAACCAACCAAGTGGTCATTATTAATGACTCAAAGAGTAACTTACATATGTTAAATGGATTATCTGTTTGGATTGGCTGGGCTGTTGCAAGAACCCATCCTGCATGAATTTCTGCTTTCATCTTGGGGTTGGGATGGAAAAAATATCAACTGATACACTTCTATGTTCCTTCTCCTTGCACAATGTTCTTTCATATTTCTTTTAGCTACAGTCAACAGGAAGTATTACATGTAAAGAAGAGATTATTCCCAAGTAAAATCTAAATCTTTATTTGCTATACATGTTAGTATGACATTATTTGGACAGGAAAATAGCTTAAGATTTTCCAGAGAATCATATGACATGCCTTGGATCCCAAAATAAATAAACTTTGTTGGAGTGACCTTGGTCTGAATAATTATTTGTAAAATGAAATAATCTGAATTTGAAGGACACGAAAAGACTGATATTCATTTTAGATTCAGTCATATCAAGCAATGCTACCCAAACACCATGTGGCCTAAGTAATAATTAACCAAGCATTTATTGATCACCAGTAGTGTGTCAGTCACTTTCTGGTTCTAAGGATATGATACTAGACAAGACAAATAGCTTCACAAATCTTTTAGCCTAAATAATCAGAAAGGTAGATATAGACAACTTAAATTACAAATTGCTTGAAAAAAATTGAGGAGAAGGATAAATTAATCGATGATTGGAAGAAGCCCTTCAAAAGAAAACAAATTCAATCTGAGACCATTAGGAATGTGGCAAATGAGGGAGAGTAGGAGGAGTGTTTTAGGAAAAGAAACTAGCTTTTATAAGGGGTGAATCCACTGTGACTGGGCCTCAAATTGACTCGAAGGTCTGTTTGTAATGTGAAGACCAGCTAATCTCTCTTCCAAATCCAGACTCAGCTCCACTTCTAAAGTCTTCTAATCTTACATCTTCACCCTCTGGCACAGAGTATGTCTTCCTTCTCCTCTGTGTCATTTCTTAATTTGCTTTTCAGCAATGAGGATTAAATGCAGGGCCTTATGCTTCCTAGTCAAGTATTCTACTAGTTGAGGTATGTTCCCAGCCCTTTCATTGTTATTTAGTTTTTAAGATAGGAACACTATCTTGGCTTTTTGGCTAAGATCCAGTGTAAGGTAGGGGTCTCCCTACCTTTGCGTTTTATCTCTGATTCCAGAGTAGCTGAGATTACCATGGTGGGATTTATTCATCTTCCTGAATCATCCTGATAGTGTTGCATGGTGCTTTGCTTGGATATACCTCTGAAGGGCTTTGCCTTAGATACATGACTTGAAAGGTATCCTGCCTTGGTCCCATGTCTCAGAAAGTCCCATTCAGGCCTTCTTCTACCTGATTCTATTATCATAAAATGACCAGTCTACAGGGCATAGAGAACAGATCTGTCTAGAACCATCATTACTCAGTACCAAGCTCCCTGTTCAGAACCAAGAACTCCTCATTTCCTATTGGAACAGCTGAATCTATTTCCAGGGCCTAATTGTATCTGTTTCTTGGGTATCCCCTCCCAAGGTGGGCCATGCAACAATCGGCATCAAGAATGGCAAAGGGGATAAAATGTGGTAGCATGAATACAATCTCAGACACTTGGAAGGAAGAAATCATTAGGATGGTGATCTGGACAAAACTCACACTCCTGTTTAACTGACATCATCTTGTCTTCATAGTGGAGGAAGATTAAGTCCCACCTCCCAGGTGATGGGTGTGCCTGAATTCCTAGAGGCAGGGGCAGGCAGGGACTTGGTTACTGGACCTGTCAGTCCTGTGCTTTGACATTGAGAGACTCTCTAGTTTCCTGTGACCCTGACCCCTGACCCTGACACTATCTAGGCTCAGACCAGCTCAGGCGCCATTATGCAATGCCTCTTGTTCCTGTGTCTTATGTCTCCTTGGTCTCCTTCCTCCTGGCTGTCCTCCAGTCACCGCGGCTTCCCACTTCAGCTCTCCATTGGGTTGATCTGGTTTGTTAGTATTGTTTTTCTGCTTCCCCACCCCCCTTGCTCTCTTGGTTCAGTTTTCTGACAGTGTTAAGTGTACAGGTTTTTGGGATAGGAATCCACCTGTAGTCACTGGCTTTCCAATAAAGACTCCTGATTTGACCTCAAAAAAAAAAAAAAACAACCTCAGCCACCCAAGTAGCTAGGATTAACCCAACTACTCTATTATTTTTATCATTACATAAAAGAAAAAATGGTTCCCAATAAAGCAGAACAGAAAATAAATAAAAATGATCTATAATATCTTGGGACAGAAATAAGTCATTATTTTAATTAATATAGGTTACCTAGTTAGTTGGTTGTATTTGCATATACAGAATAGTACAGCCTCTAAGATTTAAACATGTAATAATTAAAATAACTTGCTGCACTAAAGGATAGGAACATTTTTTAAATATTGCTATTTTTCATGTTTTTATTACTTGCTTAACTGGTGCTTAACTGATTATTATTAGTTGCTGATACTATTACTAGTATTATTGCTATTTGTTTAAGTAATAGAAAGTATGTAACAGAGAAACCTGGAATGCATGATTCCAGGTCAATGCCTATTTTTATTTATGTTCAAGAAATATATGAATATATTTTGATTTATATCATTTTTATTTATTTGCATACCTTCTTATTGACAATTCTTTTTAAAGCAGGCATTTCCAAATATTAGCAAGAATGTGTCAAAAAGGGAATCTTACACAGTGTTGGAGTATAAATTGGTGCATTTTGGAAACTAGTCCAGCAATATCTAGTGCATTCATTTTCTATTGCCTTGTAACAAACCTAATGGCCTAACAACCACTTATCTCACTGTTCCTCTGAGCCAGGAGTACTGACACAGCTTAGCTTGTTTCTCTGCTCAGGCTCTAACAAGGTTCAGGAAAGCATAAGGTCAGACTGTCATGTCTGGAGGCTTGGCTGAGAATGAATCTTATTCTAACCTCTCACAGGCTATTGACAGAATTCATTTGCACGTAGTTGTGTGCTTGAGGGCCCTGGACTCTTACTGGTAGCTAAAGGCTACACTCAAGTCCTAGAAGCTATCAGTGGTTACCTGTCACGTAGCTATCTCCACAGTCAGCTGACAACATGATGACTTGTTTATTCAAGTGCAGCAGGCAAGTGTGTAGCTCTAGTCTAAGAAGACCATGAAATGAATGAATGCAATGAAATGTCATCATGGGAGCTCTCTGCTTCTTTGGTCATATTCTATTGGGTTGAAATGAGAGGACCCATCTACATTCAGGGAGTGGAGATATATATAGAAACACCAAGGGGCAGAGATCATGGGAGGAGCTGGTATCTTAGAATTCTGCCTACCGCATCTGATGATTGTAATGCTGTCAGTAATCCAGTTAATTAGAAAGTAGAGGAGGAGGATAGTGAGTTCAAGGCCAGCCAGCTTGAGCATAGTTATTGAAATCCTATTTTAAAAATATGAGGGGCATGGCTCAATTGGCAGAGTGCTTGCCTATCATGTGTGAGGCCTTGGAGTCAATCTTCAATACTACAAAAATGTAATCAACATATTGTCATTTAGCAGTTTTCCTGTCTATAGTATGGATGTATAAGAATGTTAGTAATAGCACTACTTGTGGTGGCAAAAAAATTATTCTATAGCTTTTAAATTTCTCAAAATAACAAAATACACAGTTAGGGAGCTATTCTTATAAAATGCTGCTCTTCAAGGCTGGCCTTAAACTCCTGATCCACCTGCCTCAGCTTCCCTAATTGCTGGGATTTTTAGTGTACCAGCACATCTGGCACAAGAATTAATTTCTTTTTATACTACTTACAAATTATCAGGCAGAGGGGATGGGTGTGAACTAAAAAGAGAATAGCAAGAAGCTTCCAGCAAGCGAGCTGCACGTGATCTCTTTGGCCATGAGACACTAACTTAATACTTCCATTATATTCTTCGTCCTTCAACCATGCTATCATTCCTTAAAAAAAAAAAAATCAGGTGCCTACTAGGTGAGAGGCTATATCTGGAAAAGTAGGGGGAGAGCTGTGCATTCTATAATAGCTTAGTAAAGGAGGTTCGTTGACATTACTCCCTCCCACTCTCCCACCCCCGCCTCATTCCCGCTATGGCTATGGGCGGACCCCAATCCTCCCGGTCAGTGAGATCCTATCCTTGGACCCAAGATTCCGAGACTCTGGGCCGTGGGACGCCTAACAACCAGAAAACTACATCTCCCGGCAGGCTCTGCGGTGGGCGTCGCAGGGGCGTACGCAGGCGCGTAGGCCGGCCCCCTGCACGCAGGCGCATTGCGCACGCCGGCTGAGCTGGGTCTCGCTGCTCGGTGCGCGGCGGCGGCGGCGGAAGGCGAGGCCTGGTGCGGTGCGCACCGCTGAGGCCGGGATCGGCTTGTTTAGGTGGTGGGTGAAAGAGGCGCGGCGGAGGGGCGAGAGAGCCAGCGTTTCACTCTAGCAGTGGCACCAGGGTCGGTTGCCTCGAGCCGGTGAGTGCGGCCGCGGCCCCTCCCCCTCCCGCCGACGGATCCGGGGTGTCCACGGCGGGATCCGGGAGAGGCCCCGGGGCGACGGGGTGAGGGGAGGTAGGGTGGTGGGGCGCCGGCGGGAGCTCGAGCTCGGCTCCCTGGGCCCGGACGCTCGCGGTGCGTCCGTGCGTCACCGGTCCGGGGGTGCCT